CCAATTTTTACATTATCTATCTTAGATCCTCAGAAATTGGTAATTGAACTGCTACCACAGATTAGGGGGATCCTCATAGACCAAAAGTTACAGTTCCTTCTAGTTTTAAATAAGTTACATGTAATTCATGTTAATTAAACTCTTATGAACCTGTTTTTAGAGGCAGTTGCTTAACAGCTTGAACAGTTTAAACTCTTAGGACTAGTTTTACTATGAGATATAGTGTCATATTTTATAGTTATATTATGTTTCTTGTTATGTGGTACTTTCATTCCCAATTGGGCAAACTTTATTAAATGGGCTAAGCCCTGTGCTTATGTCTGATTCCAGTCACAGATGAGTAACACATGGTCCTTAACTTCAAGAAACATACTAAAGACCTTTTGCATCCATTAATCAGCTATTGACAATTGAGGGTCATTTAAAAGTTAATGAATAACTTGAGCTACCCTTTTATTTACCTAGCTCCTTTGTGTGTAAAGATTATGTTTGTTAAATTAAGATCCACTGTGTGTGCGTGTGTGCACGTGTGTGTATGAAGCGGGAGTTCTTGTCTAAATGTTACTTTTTTAGAAGAAAAAAAATTTTACAGTAAAATAAAACCCTGTTAAGCAGAAATAAAACCAAAATAGTATATACTTGTATATACTATTCCCAGCAGTAGCAATGAGCAATAATGAAATCCATGGGTACCTTCCCCACAACCTATATTTTAATGCCTTCTCCTTAGTAACCCATGTACTTATGGTCATATTGTTGTAGTTCTTAATAATCCATTAATCTAAGAGTTTCCTGGAATCCATCAAAATATGACAGATCCTTTCCCTTTTTGAAGCACATTTGTTACCAGTATTCAAAATGATTACCAAGACAGTTAATACTTTCTTATTTGATACCCATTATATCTACCCTGGATAGAAGAATAAATACCTTTGTATCTTAAATCTGAGCACCGGTGAAGCCTTCCTAAATTCTAAACATCTCCCAAATGTGTGCGGCACTTTGAGGATGTTTTGTGGATTTTTAAAAAACCTATTTCAGAATAGACCATTATTCAGGGATTCATTGTCAATGGAAACAAATTTCCTTTAAAACTTCTCATTTTAGTCAGCATGTAAAAACTTCTTTTCTAGTATTCAGCCATTCCAAAGACTTATTTTTATTAATAGATACATTGAGGTATAATGTATATACTATAAAGTTCATCCATTTTAAGTGTGTATTTCAGTGACTTTAGTGTATTTAGTATACCATTCTGCAGTGGTACAACCATCACCACAATTTAATTTTAAAATATTTGTGTCATCCCAAGAAGAAACCTCACATCCGCTTAGTCATCCCCCATTCCCAGACACCTTCTGTGTCTATAAATTTGCTTTTTGGAGACATTTCATATAAATGGAATCATACAATAAATATTCATTTGTGTCTGGCTTCTTTTGGGCGGGGGATTTGAGACAGGGTCTCACTAGGTAGTTGAGACTGACCTGGAACTCACTATGTAGCCCAGGCTGGTTTTGAACTCACAGGAATCCTCCTGTCTCAGCCTCTTGAGTGCTGGGATTACAGGTGTGCGCCACCACACCCGACTTTTTGGACTCTTTGTTATATATGTATGTGTATAAATGGAATCCAAATAATCCCACTTTCACAGTATTAAGATTGCTACTAGAAGAAAACCTTACAATAATCTAAAATAACGGGTATTTCATGGTCATTATTTTTAATTGATAAATAATAGAGATTCTTAAAAAAAAATCTACCAAACAGGAAAAATTTTTTTTTAATTTTTCTGGTCTATATAAATACATTTTTGGCACCCCCCCAAAACAATGAGATAGTGATGATTGGTCTTTTTTTGTTTTTTCC